CAGTATGTCAAAAGGAAGTGTTATTGTTTTTACTACAGCACTGTTTTTCAATAACCTAATAAAGTTATAGGTTAGGGGTCTCGAACTTTTTATTCACATCAAGGGAGCCTCAGACTAAACACGTTTGGGAAACATCGATCTCATGTATAAATACCGAAGAATATTAGATGTGAATGTCACAAGCTGTAACAACCGATATGTTCAAGAAATGAAATTGTTATGTAACTTATAATGACCAAACAATATTAGATGTGAATGTTACAAGCTGTAACAACCGATATGTTCAACAAATGAAATCGTCATATAATTTATAAAGACTAAACAATATTAGATGTGAATGTTACAAGCTGTAACAACCGGTATGTTCAACAAATGAAATCGTCATAGAATTTATAAAGACCAAACAATATTAGATGTGAATGTCACAAGCTGTAACAACCGGTATGTTCAACAAATGAAATCGTCATAGAATTTATATAGACCAAACAATATCAGATGTGAATGTCACAAGATATAACAACCGACATGTTCAACAAATGAAATAGTCATGTAACTTATAATGACCAAACAATATTAGATGTGAATGTCACAAGATGTAACAACCGACATGTTCAACAAATGAAATAGTCATGTAACTTATAATGACCAAACAATATTAGATGTGAATGTTACAAGCTGTAACAACCGATATGTTCAACAAATGAAATCGTCATATAATTTATAAAGACTAAACAATATTAGATATGAATGTTATAAGCTGTTTCAACAAATGAAATCGTCATATAATTTATAAAGACTAAACAATAGTTAGATGTGAATGTTATAAGCTGTTCAACAAATCAAATCGTCATATAATTTATAAAGACTAAACAATATTAGATATGAATGTTATAAGCTGTTCAACAAATCAAATCGTCATATAATTTATAAAGACTAAACAATATTAGATGTGAATGTCACAAGTTGTAACAACCTGTATGTTCAACAAATCAAATCGTCATAGAACTTATAAAGACTAAACAATATTAGATGTGAATGTCACAAGTTGTAACAATCGACATATTTCGCTAATAAATCGTCTCACAAGGTATAGAGACCGAACTTAACTTACAACATGGGTGTCATGGAGTGTAAAGTCTGGCGTGTTCCGCTGAACAAGTCGTCTCATAACTATACTTAACTAAGTTATCCGACGAAGCATAGAAAAAAAAAAAGAGTCAAATTATATGGGAGTGCTGAAGTGTAACGACAGCATGTTACACCAATTAACGCATCTTATTCAACTTCAGTTAGCTCGTTTTTTGTTGTTTTTTTTTACTTGTTCTCGGTCCAGAGACATACATCCTAAGAAAAAACCTGCGTTTTATGTTTAAAGCATAAATTATTTGTAACGTGAGAACTGGATGCAAGGCCCGGTATGGCCAGGTGGTTAGGGCGCTCGACTCGCAATCTGCGGGTTCGAATCCTTGTCACACCAAACATGTTCGCCCTTTCAGCCGTGGGGGCATTATAACGTGACGGTCAATCCTACTATTCGTTGGTAAAAGAGTAGCCCAAGAGTTGGCGGTGCGTGGTGATGACTAGCTGCCTTCCCTCTAGTCTTACACTGCTAAATTAGGGACAGCTAGCGCAGATAGCTCTCGTGTAGCTTTGCGCGAAATCCAAAAAACAAACAAACAAACTGGATGCAGTCGCTGTTCCACAATCCCACCTAAACTTCCTTCGATGTAGCGTTAAAAAACCGTTTGGTCTTTTTTTTCCTTAAAGTGGTGTTGCATGTAATTAAACATAACTTAATAAATTCAAACTTGGCCTAGGACCAGGTTTCCTATGGCCCTCGTGCATAGACTTATAACATTTGTTCAGTTTTATAGAAAGTATAAAAAGAACAACATATTGAAAAACGTATGATTGGACAAAAACAACAATGTTATATTACATAAATAAACACTACTATTAAAAAGGTTTGGGTCCCTTGTCACTGGGGCCCCTGGTGTGCAATATGTCACCTATAAACAGAGCTCAGTAGGCCCGCTGTAAGACAGAAAGAGTAGTGGGTCCAGGCGCTATTTATATCATCGATTTCAAGAACAACTATTACAGTGTGAACTATATTAAGGATTAATAACCCAATATTATAGTAAGTATATTAAGGATTAATAACCCAATATTATAGTAAGTATATTAAGATTAATAACACAATATTATAGTAACGTATATTAAGGATTAATAACCCAATATTATAGTAAGTATATTAAGGATTAATAACCCAATATTATCGTAACTATATTAAGGATTAATAACCCAATATTATAGTTACTATATTAAAGATTAATAACCCAATATTATAGTAACTATATTAAAGATTAATAACCCAATATTATCGTAACTATATTAAAGATTAATAACCCAATATTATAGTAACTATATTAAGGATTAATAACCCAATATTATAGTAACTATATTAAGGATTAATAACCCAATATTATAGTAACTATATTAAGGATTAATAACCCAATATCATCGTAACTATATTAAACATTAATAACCCAATATTATCGTAACTATATTAAGGATTAATAACCAAATATTACCGTAACTATATTAAGGATTAATAACCCAATATTACCGTAACTATATTAAGGATTAATAACCCAATATTACCGTATTTATTTATTTTAACACTGATTACTTATTGTTATCGTATTTTAATCAACTTTACAATCATTCAGAAGAACTGGCGAACCAGCAATATAGTATTTTTGTTCTCGGTGATGGTCAAACGACCACAGGGTCAACTGGAGAAAAACCACATCAGTACTTCGAAGGGCTGTTTGTTACCAATATAGAATACAATTTAGTTACATAAAGTAGCAGTCATGTCTATTACTTTAATATAACCAACATATAAAATATAGGTGTACTACTGCTGTGTAGGATTGTTTTATCTGTGTGTATTTCATACATATCAGGAACACATTCCTCGAAAATGTACAAAAACTAAGTGATCTACTATACATTCCTATCCCATATTTTTGTATGAAACATATACTACAGTTCTTGAAGCTTTTGATGGGTGAGTGCTTACCACATAGGATTGACTAAGTCCGTACTTCATGTTGATAAACTTTTTGAGATGTGCTACTGTTACAGCTGCCGGACATTGAAGGTAACGACGCTTGGCATCCTGGAGTGTTACAAATAAGTGTTCAGTTAGTTTTCAGTGAAGCGTTTAGTACACAAATCATATAATTATATATTTGTATTTAACAAATGAAATTGTGAAATAAAATAAACTGGATTACAAAGAAATACCTAAACATCAGTTCTAATTCTAATGTGCTTTATCAACAGAATATATCTGGTTGCTGAGTCTCAGCGAAATTAGGATAACTCTTCAATATCCTTGTAAGAGTTTGAATGATTTTTCAATTAAAGAATATGCACTATAATAACCTTCATTAAAAATATCTTATTCTATAACCCTCACTGAATATACCTTATTCTATAACCCTCATTGAAGATATCTTATTCTATAACCCTCACTGAAGATACCCTATTATATTCGTGATGTTAGGAAAACACATAGGTTAAAAAAACTTAAGACAAAAATAGAAAAACTCTTTAATCCGAGCGTTTTCGAAAAGTTGGCAATTCTTCATCAGAGGCAAACTGAGAATCCCCTGGAGAAGAATGGTTCACTTTCCAAAATGCTCCGGTTGTAGGATTTTGTGTTATTATCTTATTTTGATACCTTATTCTATCTATTTTTAGAAAGAAAACGTCATCGCATAGAAATTCTACCCCTGGTGGCCTAACACCCCCCACCCCACACACACCTATTATTCAGTTTAATAAGATAATACGCTAGATTCGGGTGATATAGATACTACAAGATGCTGGAAGGTGTCTTTTTTGATCGTGTAGCCGAAGGGTCAAAGTGTTTGGTCTGCAACAGGTCAACAGATATCGTAAGAGAATTCAAATGATTCCAGTCATTATAGAAAATGTTGAAATGAGTCTTATGAGACCATGTCACACGATCCTGAAGTCTTTCATTGCTCCCAGCCTGCCCTCGAAACACCATGGAAATCAGGCTTTCCTCTTTGCATCTCAGATAAGCATTTTACGGATTGGTTAGCGACTGCAATGTGACAGGTTTTGTAATGCTCTTCCGCATAGTATTCTCCCTTGCTTAGTTATCAGAGGTTGAAAGCTACGGTTTCTCTCAGTGGCTGTTGCATTCCTGTTCGATTGGCTGTGATGAATGATGTCTCTGAACAGCCGTTCAAAGGAATGGTCTTTGTTAACGACGCTCCTGTCAGACGAGCACAACTACCATGCCTCTTTGAAACGTGGAAAGTTCCTTGCTCTTATAAAATATCTAGTAGACAAACTACGACATGCAAGGCTATATCTCTACTTTTGCGAGACCAAAAAAAAATACTTGATACATTACATGATCACTCTATTTCCCATGAAAGGAGTATTTCATAAATGTGTGTGTGTGGAGGGGAAAAAGGTTTCTAATAAACTGGCCGCCACTCAGTGTAAATCACATCTTGAAATAGGAGTTATGTAAATGTTACATCTTACCGTGTCGTCTTCAGATTCGGGTGTAATCGCAGAATGACCATTGGTGGGTAGTTGATTTATCCTGGAAAGAAAAACAAATGTTAATATCTTCATTTTGCTGTTTGTTCTATACGCATTGTTGGAGAGACTGTAAAATGGTATACCCAATTTCCAAAGAAATTTTAGCCCTATGTGTATTTGTACATAACACAAACATAATTTGAAAATTGTCAATTTTCTTCTATAGAACAGTACATAGTTATCGACGTTCATAAATTTCTTTGTTTGAAGTTAAGCACAAAGCTACACAATCTGTGCTCTGCCCACCACGGGTATCGAAACCCTGTTTCTAGTGGTACAAGTCAGCATTAAAAGTACTGATAAAGGCAGTTTACACTTACAACAATAATTAACGAAATTATACTATATCCATATTCTCTGAAAATTAAGCGAAAGTCAGAATCTTTATAAAACTCAAACTCATTATTATTTTTAAAGCTTTCAATGATGACAGGAGGATAGACACCATCTACAATGAAGACCACAAACAACTTCATCTAAATGTTGTTTTATTTTACCTTACGCCTTTTTTCAAGGGTCTGTGAACTGTTTTGTAGCCTGTGACGTTCACAGACCGTTGAAAAAGGCTTAAGCTGAATCGTCGGGTAGAATAAAACATCATTTATCTGAAGTTGTCTTCCTTGCAAAATCAAATTCATTTTAATAAACCTTCAACAAGTATATAAATATTCATAAGTATTTAGAATTATTTGAAAGTTTTTTACAGGTACATTTTTTATAGATTTTATAGAAGGAATAAAATGGTCAAACTGAACGACTTTAGGTACATTTTCCTTGTGTAAGGCTCCTGAAATAGAAATAGTTTATTTATGCTTTCACAAACAAAGTTTTTTGTTCGTTTCGTGTTAAATGCAAAGTTTTACACAATGGGCTATCTACCGTAAGGATTGATCGCCGAATTTTAACGTATAGCCCTCAAACTCACAGCTGGGCTACTGGGGAGCTACAAACATAAAGGAACGTTTATATGATAAAACGTTTATATGATTACTAATTACCAAATCATAACATATCTTTAAAAATACTCATATCTACTTAAGCCTAACGATGTTGCTATTTAAGCCTTAGAAATTTCATTTGTGTTTTATTGCTGTCGGATATATAGATTCAGAGTTTAAGAGTATCTCAAAGTCTTATAGCTTAAACAAAATTATTGAATTTTGATTAACAGTATTCCCAAGTGGGTTTTTTTTTTCTGTACAAGTCTAATTTTCAGTTTTAAGATTTATAGCAGAGAGAAGCAAAACTGACATCACCGACGCGGATACCCCAAGCATGATATTATATCACAGCTAATTAATTTTCGTTTACTCGGAAAGGTTTCATAAAAATTTATTTTGCCACTTACCCATATCCGTACTCTAGAGATAAGCTAATGGAGTCGTCTGGGGTATAGATTACTCGCTGTTCTGTCAGCTCTCCGCGGTCTTCCTGACACGTCACATGTGCAGCTACACAAAACAGGAAATCATTGTAAAGTTAAGATAATATAAACATCTTTAATTTTTAAAAATCCGCTAATTTTTACAAAATGCCATGAAAATCGGACAATTTTAGGTTGCGGATAAATAACTTGGCTTTGGAATACCCGATACTATTAAATGGTCATTGGTTATTTTCGGTTATAAATCGGTTATTATTTAATGTACTAAGGCTTAAGGTACATCGATTCACGTGATCAAATATATTGTGATCAATAGGAATTCAATCCGTTTCTTCCGCGATTTCTATATTAATACAAACACAACTATTATGATCATGGTTTATTTCTCGATTACTTACAATAGTTTAACACATTTCGATTGTTAAACATTCGAATAAACTGTATTTCAATGTTACACACTGCTCTGGTTATCTGTGCTACAATGTTTCAAAAACTTCACAAACAATGCTGTGCGTACATTGTCTTGATTGCATCTAGAACTGGAACTGAACATTCTGCAACGCACGCAACTTCGACCTTAAACAATATTTGTCTTAAACGCTACCATTTCACACCGTTTTTTTTTTCTTGAACAAACACTGGATTAAATTCTTGAGTTCATCAGTTATTAGCACAACTGCTCGCCTTATCTTTCCATTGTTCCACAAGTGACAGCATGTAGAAATTAGTCGATCATCATATTGAAAAATATAAAATAAATTTCCGTTACTGTTGACATGATAATCTATAGTAATTGGAGTAACGAAAGAGCTTCTTAGAACATGTTTTATAAATGAGCTCCCTTAAGACAATTTCTGTGTTGAGAACCCAATGTTCTGTAAAACAAAGTCCCACTTTTATACCTTGATTTTCCTAAATCATGTTTGTTTTTTACTGCGCATATTTCTTTTGTTGCAATAATTGGTTAAGGTGTCGTTAACCATGCAAAAACCTAAAAAAAGGATCCTGTTTTTGGGGGAGATCCTTACACGCTCTCTTGATCTTACACCATTACACATTTTCTTTTGGTGATATATTGGGTACTTTGGGTTTGCCACACATTTAAACAGGCTGGAATATTTTAAGCATAGAATGACAACAGGTTGCGTAACCCGTAACCCTTCCATTATAACAAAACGCGAGTCGTAACCTGAGTGAAAGGGTGACATCGTAACGTGATACCAAAGGTGCACACTTCTAACAGCTGTAAGACCAGGACGTAAATAAAAAAAATAAAATAAGGTGGCGAACCTTGGCATTATTCGCTCTGTAGCCGTGTTGTTAACGTCTCTATTTCTGAACAACTTTGACTTTATTATAAAGTAGTTCCAAAGAGTAGCCACGAATGTAACAAATTCAATCAATATTTCATCTTCTGAAATCGGTACTATATATATAACTAGTTATAATACTTTGTATGAATTATAATTACGATGTTTATAAACAGATTAATAGGTCTTCCTCATTTATCTTGCGATTCATCGGGCAATAATAATAAATTGAAAGCCCAGGAAAGCAAACTCAAATTTTTAAATTAAAACACGTTACTTAAATAACACAACTATATGTCGAACTGTATCTTTATTTGATTTTTTGGTTTTTTTTTCTTCTAAGAAACCTTAATCACATTTTGCTTGTAAGCGTTTTCTTAGTTTTGTTTTTCTAATACCAGCGCGAGTGCTTTATCTTATAAGAAATGAAACATTTTCCGAAGTTGTTCTTTCGTTTAGGACCCGTTTTCTCACTTAAATTTTTCACTGGAATTCGTGCATCTTCCAGAATGAAATACACAAACGTAATTGACTTTTTTACACATTTTTATAACTATTTTTGTGTGCATTTCGTAATACTGTAATACACTTACTATGGAATATGATTTATTTAAAATATAGATAAAATTTTACATCTTAAACAACTAGAATATTCCATCCAAAGTCAAACAAAACTGTTGTCGCTGCAGTCATTATCTTTATTTCTCTAAAACAATCAATGCACCTTCCCTGTTGATAGCGAGATACTGTTCCTTACATTTATATGACCAAGGTTCTATATAGTGCACCTCACTCTGCTTAACTACCAATTCTGTGACGTAATGGTTCGACAAACTGTTTTTTACATCTTATGACCAAGGTTCTATATAGTGCACCTCACTCTGCTTAACTACCAATTCTGTGACGTAATGGTTCGACAAACTGTTTTTTACATCATATGACCAAGGTTCTATATAGTGCACCTCACTCTGCTTAACTACCAATTCTGTGACGTAATGGTTACGACAAACTGTTTTTACATCTATATGACCAAGGTTCTATATAGTGCACCTCACTCTGCTTAACTACCAATTCTGTGACGTAATGGTTAC